TTTCCCAAGGCCATGGCAAAAATGGACATTAAGATTATAACATTTCCAGCATTTTCAACGTGTGACATGCAGTCAACACTGCCATAGGGAAAAGGAAAAAAAATCTCTAAATTTAAAGTTACAAAATGCATAAAAGTAAACAATAAACTAGCACTGTATCTGAGAAACACAATACATTGATATCCCAAATACATAAGGAAACACAATCCTGTCTAGGTGTGGTGGTACACACCTTTAACCCCAGCAATTGGGAGGCAAAGGCAAGAGGACTCTGTGAGTTTGATGCCAGCCCAGACAACATAGTGAGTTCCAGGACAACCTGGACTAAACAGAGAGACATTGTCTCAAAAAAAACAATCGACCAAACAACACCACCACCACCACCAAAACCCTGCCAACAGCAGATGCACCAGTCTGATGCACCAACTGATGGTTGCACTGACCTTAGCTGTGTGCTTATCTCCTGATTCTTTGATCCCACTGAGGCAGTGGGTTCTGGAGGGATAGCCTTGAATGGTTCCCCTCACCCTGTCTTCACAGCATTAATCAGGGCTAGGCACATAACAGATCAAATAACCATGGAAGGCAAAAGAATGTGTCTAAATCAGAAACTGGATGGTAGAAATTAAGTCAGCTCAGAACAGAGTTAGGAATTATGGCATTGGAACTGGGGATACATTCTCGGAGTCCTGAGATGTGTCCTGTAGCTGATTCAACTAAAGCAACTTCGATGACATGGCTGGATACTGAAAAATAAAAATTAGGGGCTTTCTTCTATGGTACCACCTCGATCACGTAACAACTCCTCAAAAAAAGATCAACACGATGTGCCGAAGATTTTGAAGATGGGGGTTAACAAACCCTATAGGAGCTGAAGGAGCTGGCCATCCTGAGGGTGTAAAATTAGTCTAAAGAGATCCAGAAAGAGCAACGCAGCCCATCCCCTGCAATTAAAACCAACGCCAGGCCCTGGGATTCGGCTCAGTGGGGAGAAAGCCCGCCTGCCTAGCATGCACAAAGCCCGGGGTACTATGCCCATCACTACTACATAAGCTAGGTGTGCTGACACAGGCCTTTATTTCCAGCACTTGAGAGGCACAGGCAGGAGGATCAGCAGCTCAAGGTCACGATCAGCTATGTACTGAATTCCAGGATAGTCTAGACTACATGAGACCCTGTCTCAAAAACAGGAATAAACAAACAAACCAAATAAATGAGAAATAAATAAATGCCAACCAAGATGGGATTATTTGGCGGTGTATGGGGTGTTTTGAGTCACTATGAGGTTATGTGAAAAACAGAAATAAGCAGCAACTGACTGAAAGAGCTGGAGGTATGGGTGGGATGTTCAGGCGTTACACTGCCATACAGAACTAAATCCAGACCTAACACAATGTGGTAGAGTTACAGCATAGACAACATCCACAGGGAACAGTGCATGGAACAGATTAGAACACCTAGAAAGTGCATTTCGTCATGTGATTTAGTTGTACACAGAAGAGACTTAGAATTAATGAAGATCTTCAACAGAAAGGACATGTGGCTGTTTAAATAGACAATTTGCTTATATTTCCTATCACATATAATGGATCCAAACAAATCAAAGGTGAATTAGAAGTTAATGATATTTTTTAAAGGGAGAGGATTTAATAAAACAATAATAAAACTTGGAAATAAATGTTAATCAGCTGTGAACAGACTCCAGACCACTAAGGATCTTTGAACAGCTTAATGTAGAAACCACAGACATATGAGTCACAATTTTAACAAATAGGAAAAAAGAAAAAAAATACTATTTGCAAATAAGACCACAAAGCAAAAGTAAATAAACTATTATATTTTAAATTTTATACATATTTAAAAATACCAATATCTTCAATATATAAAGAGCTTTTCCATATCAACAAGAAAAAGGATCTATTAAGCCCATGAGGTGCCTGGATTCACAACTGTTGGAAGAAAACACACACAGCATGAGGTGTTTTTACCCTGTTGATTCTGAAAATGACAGTTAAAAGCAGCATCATGTGGGTATTTCATAGAAAATATATCTAGAGGTTATTCTGGAAATATACACCAAGAAGCTGACAGGCTCACTGGCTGAGCCACACTACTCATGGCTATTGGCTGAATGAGTAGGCATTGAGTGCAGAGGCTTAGGTATGTGCACACCCCAGACCAGCCAGATGGATAGATACCTCAGAGGAGGAAAACCAAATAACAAAGAAATCACCAAGGGAACCAAACATTCCCAGCTACCTCAGACTCCCAAAACATCCCCACAGCAGAATCCAAGAGTCAAGAGTGTCCTCAATCATCATGTTCAATTATTTGACAAATAGCTTCAAAGAACTATTTTTGGCTCAAGTCCATCACATCAGCAGAGCATCGGTCCAGCTTTCCATGCCGCCACTCTTCACACTGAATGTTTTATGAATAACAATACCTCAAACACAGGGAACTCGACTTTCAGAGGATAACTGATAGGATGAGAACTCAAACCCAGCAAATGGGGTGATTTCTTAAGCAAAAAAATGTCTTATTTTAATGTCCAGGTCTAAGAAGTCAATAAATCAAAGTTTTAGGATGAGAACTCAAACCCAGCAAATGGGATGATTTCTTAATCAAAAAATGTGTTATTTTAATGTCCAGGTCTAAGAAGTCAATAAATTAAATTAAAGTTTCACATTTTGGTGAAATAACTATCTCTTACAGTACTGGACTCACAGTCCTGCCTCATGATCCAGGGAACAGACCGGCAAATACCTGGGGTATGTTCTAGAGGTCTTACCAACTCTTACTAGATGATATGATCTGTATGCCTCCTGAGGGGGCTGCACTTCCCAAGTATGACTGAACCTGAGGCATGATGACTAATGTCACACCCTTACTTCCCTGTTCCAACTGACATCAACAGACACAGAAAATCAACCAGGTGCCCTCGCAGATTATCACAGTAGATGGTTGTCAAGATCCTTTGTCATGAACCTGAGGGACTTGACTATGCAAACGGGTCTTACTCATGCCTCAGACCCTGAATCTGCCCATTCACAGCAAGGCTTTCCCTGTGAATGAACCTGAAGTGGGGACACATAGCTCCAGTCCTTAGAGAGATCCAATGTGTGGTCTGGTATATGTGACCTTTTGTATTTCCCACTTGGAAAGAAACATTTTGAGCTCCTTAGGACTATCGTCATGTAGCACCCAAGGAACTCAAGTCTCAAGACTAAAAGGTCCAGAATCTTAACTTCATGCATTGGTTCCTGCACTCACCATTACTGTTTCCTTACGTAGGTTTCCAGGAGGTTCCTGTCTCCTACTACCGGGAGCACTTCCCTCTGCCTAAGCCCCGCCTCTCCTTCCTGTCACAGAGCTCTCAGCCCTTCCCCAGCTGCTGCCTTGGACTTGCTGCCTCCATCCCCAACCAGAGAGTGACAGTCTGCGTCCCTGGGTTCAGGAGGGTGGGTTTGAACACTACAAAGTTGGGAAGTGACTTCAGTCAGCCACTGAATGTCTACAGAGTGTCAGTCCTAAGGGACAAATACCTGTAACTTTTGTCAATTTAAAAATAACTTTCAAAGTATTACAGTCCCTTAACAGTTATCGAGCGGGTGTTCTGGATCTTTCCACGAAACTCCCACATATAGGTTTATTTAAAAGGGACATAAGTAAATGCTTGCTGCCATGAATGAGGGGTGGATGGATATAGTTTGACAAGTTAGCTGGCAGTGACTGCCATGAACAGGGATTCTGGAGGTCAGGGAGTCCAAAGCCACAGGGCCCATAACTTTTGGAACAAAATTGGCCAGTGATAAACATCTCATGACTGAATGAAGGGGTGATGTTGTGTAATAAAGTACGGAGACTAACTTTTTCTTCACTCTAGAGTTTTTCTTCTTCCTGGAGCACCATTTTCCTCATCATCGTTTTGGGAGTGAGGGGACGGCTTGGAGAGGGCTGCAGAGCATCAACCTCACCCTTCTGGAAGGCGCTAGTCCCTCCCTTTGGAGAGGCCAATTTTTTGTTTGATTACTGTCTTCAATGGTGCTGACTTGGCCCCTTCTCCAGGCTCTCTTCTGTCTGTTGACACAGGTAGGCAGCATGGTAAAGACCCGGCTAAGATACCAAGAGGCACTGTCTGGGGGAGCCCACATTCGGCTCTCTCGTGTTACTCCATGTTAACCAACCAGTCATTCACAGCCCCGTGCAGCTCACCACACCGTCCTTCACAGCACCCAGTGTTACAGAAGTGAGAGTACGTTATTCCCAGAAGCCAATACGCATGCTAACATCTCCCGCAGAGCAAACGCCAGGAGACTGGACGCAGTGAGAGAAGGGCTTTGTTAGCCGAAACAAGGAACCCTCCCGAACAGCTTCCAAATGCTGAGAGAGATGACTCCAGCTCTTTACCTGGCTCCTCTAAGAAGCCATCGCATGAAGACCAAAACTGCTGTCAATCACCTACAAAGATGCTTCAGGAAAAACAAACACAATGCCAGATGCTGCGGATGCTCGGAGGCTGAGAATTTCCAAACACACCAAATTCTTGCAAAACAAGACTTTCTCTAATCCTGAATGGAAAACAAAACCAAACCAAAACCAAACTTCTTGGAAGAAGAACAAAGAACAAAGTTGCTTTAGCGGACGAGAGATGCTAGTGAAGAGAGCAAGGGGCAGCTGAGCCATGCACAGGTCTGCACACCTTGCTCACAGCTCTCCCAGGACTGTATGTGGAGTTACCAGGCGCTCTATCTTTACAGCCGATTCCTCTCCTTACATAACCTCGGCTAGCTGATCCACACACGAAGCTGCTCTCAACAACCCAGCCTGGGAACTCCTCGGACACTCAAGCTTGTGTGGCTGTAGCCTGCTTGCTACCATTCACAGAACAGATGCACAGAGGAAAGAGCCCAGGGACGCGGTTTCAAGCCTGCCTGAGGCTACACCATCTAGCTGCAGCAGCACCTCGCTCCTCAGGTGCACCTGAGGTGGGAGCTTACCTGAATTTGGTGAGATGTGTAAACTGCTCATGTCCTTGGCCAGGCCATTGGTTTTGGGACTGGAGATGGGTGCACAGGCTGACGTGGCTCGGGGTGGCCTCTTCCCCGGCACTTTCACAGTGGTCCTCAGGAGGTCAATCTCTTTGCCGTGGACATTCTGCATGTAATCCTGTGTGAATGTTAAACACCCAAGAGAGATTAAGGAGAGGACGGGCTACAGTGTGGGACACAAGGCCCTACTGATGTCATGAGCTGTAATCCCGAGACTGGCACTTTCCGCTGCAGGATGTGGGTGACATCATTGTCATTTAAACCTGAGCTAGGCATCTATGTTCTGATCTAACCTGGGGCCATGAATGGGAAGACGAATAGCACCAAATCCTGGCTCTCTGAACTCCTGCTTTCTACATCAGCTTAGGAACCTGGGCAAGTGCTGTGACTTCTGAGTAATAGTCATGGGGTGGGAGGAAAATTCATGAGAACAGTGTCCAAAGTTTAAGGATGTAGCTAAGGTGTGCTGGCTAGTTTTATGTCAACTTGACACAAGCTAGAGTTATCTGAAAGAGGGAACCTCAAATGAGAAAATGCTTCTATAAGATCCTGAGTCATTAATGGGAGTGAGCCAGCCCACTGTAGATGGGTTCCATCCCTGGGCTGGTGGTCCTGGGTTTTGTAAGAAAGCAGGCTGAGCAAGCCATGAGGAACAAGCCAGTAAGTAAGTAAGCAGCACCCTTCCATGGCCTCTGCATCAGCTCCTGCCTCCAGGTTCCTGCCCTGCTTGAGTTCCTGTCCTGACTTCCTTCAAGGATGAACGGTGATATAAAAAGTTTAAGCCAAATAAACTCTTTCCTCCCTAACTTGCTTTTGGTCATGGTGTTTTATCACAGTAATAGAAACCCTAACTAAGACAAGGACTGGAGGTGTTTGAGGGACCAGAGGCAAGGTATTAACAACAACAACAACGACACATTCACGAGTAGACACTCACAACAACATATTCACAAGTGGACACTAGCAACAACACATTCACAAGTGGACACTCACAACAACACATTCACAAGTGGACGCTAGCAACAACACATTCACAAGTGGACACTCACAACAACACATTCACAAGTGGACACTCACAACAACACATTCACAAGTGGATGCTCACAACACATTCACAAGCGGACACTCACAAGGATGCGCATGTTTCCCTTTTGGCGTCAGAAGCAACACCCATCAAGTCTCACCAACATGACTGCTTAATTGTGAGCTGAACAAGGAGGACACGGACAAACGAGCCAGACTGCATGGGAAGAACTAGGAGCTCTCAACCCTACACACAGAACTACAGGCGTGTGAGGAAGGCCAGGAGGAGGAGAGGGGCCTCCTCCAGAGAAGGGCACACCGACTGGTTGTCCAATGCCAAATGGTCAGCCCTGGAAAACATGCATACAAGCAACACTATATATAGACTTCAAAGGTTTTATTTGGGAATATAGATGCAGGTACAAATACATATATGCATACAGTAACAACTGATGACAGAAGATGCCAGGAAACTGAAGGAGAGCAGGGAGGGTTTGGAGTGAGGAAAGGGAAGGGAGAGATATCATAACTAAAACACAGTTTCAAGAATAAACGAACAAAGAACAAGCGTGCTGGGGCTTCCACGTGAAATGCCCCACAGGCTCATGTGTCTGAACAACTGGTCTCTGGCTGGGAGTGTTGTCTGGGAAGGCTGTGGGGCCTTCAGGAAGTGAAGGCTTGCTGGAGGGAGTGAGTCACCCAGGACAGGGTGTAAGACTGAATAGGCTGGCCTCACTTTCTGCCCACTCTGTTTCCCGAGTGCAGTCACAACGTGACCAGCAGCCTCCTGCTCCTGCCACCAAGCCTCCCTGCTCTAATGAACCACAGCCTGCTGGAACTGTCAGCTAAAGGAGAAATCTCAACCTTCCCAAACTGCTGCTCTTCAGGCATTTGGTCACACTTAGACAGGAAACAAAATAAAGCAAATCAAAACCTAGAAACAAATCCATCAGACCCTCAGCCCTCATGTCAGAAGCCAGCAGCCAACAACTATCAGAGGGTAGCCTGGGCTAAGTCACGTAACAACCCATCGCACAGTGGAACCGACACTACCTGGGAATAGCCGAAGGAAGGCGGTGGCAGGGCAAGAGTTTGGGTGAGCATCTTCAAAAAAGGACCGTGTGCCAAAGGCTTAGCTGTCAGGCTGTGGTGCTCTTGGGAGGTAGTGAGATTTTAAGAGATGGGACCTGGTGGGGGAGTTACGTCACTGGGAGGGACACTGGGAGGCCAGTCTGCCTTCCCTCCCCTGCCCATCCCTCCCTGATTCCTGCTGCTGTGAGGTGAGCAAGTGTCCCCGGCCACGATGTGCTGCTACAGGCTCAAGGCAACAGGGTGAAGTGACCATGGGAAAAAGCCTCTGAAACTACAAGCCAAAATGTAAGACTTTCTACCACAGAAGTTGATTATCTCAGGAGGATTTTGTCACAGTGATTGAAAGCCGAGGAGTACAACAACTGATCCAGGGTGCCGGGGCTGCTGGGAACATGGTCCTGCGTCTCCATCATCACCACCACCACCACCACCACCACCACCACCACCACCACCACCACCACCACCATCACCACCACCACCACCACCACCATCATCACCACCACCACCATCATCACCATTATCATCATCGCCACCACCACCACCACCACCATCACCACCACCACCACCACCACCACTATCATCACCACCACCATCACCACAGCCACCACCGTTGTCATTGTCACCAGCAGCACCACCAGTACCGTCATAGTCTTCTCAATGAGGCCTCTTACTTACAGACACAGCATTTTACATATTCTGGATGTTACCCCATCACATACCAGAGAAGGATCTATCCTGAATCACTCTTAGATAAATAATGTTTCAAGTATTTTAAGAGGCAGGAGGAAGGAGGACTAGGAAGGAAGCGGGGAAATAGGATTTTGGGTAGACCTAGAAATTTGTGTTTGTTCTCAGTGATTACATCCAGGTTGGGGTAACATTAGGAGAAGCGACCATCTACCTTACATGTTGGCTGAAGGGCCCAGCAAGCTGGAAAAGTGAGCCGGTTGTTCTGAGCACTTAAGTGTACAGGGAACTGATGCAGACAGATAACCCATACAAGCAAAATGGGACGGTCAGGGGCCTTAGTCTGCTGGAGAAACGCAAGGCAATGCATACTGACGGGGTTGTGTAGGCACAGTGAGTGGCATGGAAGTCATGGCAAATCTCCCAGCACTCCTGGGGAAGAGGCAGCCATCTAATTTAATCGCAGAAGGATGTTCACAGCCTAGGAGACAAGTACTGTGAAGACAACTATGATGGTCAGCTTTGACTGTCACCTTGGTTATGCTGAGAAGTGTCTAGGACCAGGATGAACTGACCCTCAAGGTATGCTGTCAGGACGTTTTGGAGGCTTAGTGGAGGTTGGAGGACCTGTCATGGGCATTGGAGGCACTTGCCACATGAATAAAGCCATTGCAGGATTTCCTCTCTGGTTCCTGGCCACCCTGATGTGAGCTGTATTTCCCAGGCCCGACCTCCACAATGGAAAGATCAAAGAGGAGGGAGTTATCTTCATCAAGTCAGTCTAAAGGACAGTGTGGACTCTGATGGGAGGAGCTTGCCACTGAAGATAGCAAATGGATGTCCACCAGGGAAGAAAGGGTCGTCAGCTAGGGCAGGTCATTAGAAAAAAAGACTGTTCTCATCTCTAATGCCTGCTGCCATTAACACCCACCCAGACGCAAGCCCAAGTTTCCAAACAGAGTCATGCTTGCAAACAACACATTCCTTCTTGCACGGTTACTCCTTTAAAACACCAACTTGCTGTAACTTTCTCCTTTAATGCCAATTCTTAACAAATTAAAATACAATAACAGGAGTGTAATTGAGCATTTATTGCTTATGAGCTCTAAAATGAGGCTAATCAGAGAGTGACTAAGCCCCAGCGTGGGCTCTTTTAATAGGCATGTTTTAACATACAATAACCAGGATATTTTACTTAAAATTATTGTAGAAATGTAGAGCCTGCTTTCCGGATCTGAACACGCCAAGGGAAGACATTTATCTTGAGCCCAGCATGGGCTGGCCGGTCTGTTTTCTTGCCTGTGTTAGGCACTGCAAGCTTCAGAATTGGCTCGAAGAAACTTGAGCACCAGGGGCCTGGGAAGATGGCTCAGCGGTAAAGTGTTTGCTGGGCCTGAGTTTGACCTCCAGCACGGCTGCCTCTGATCTCATTGCTGGGGAGGCCTGGACAGGAGCACCCTTGGGCTAGCTCCCCAGCCACTCTAGCTGTGTTCCAGGTGGAGGAAACACACACACACACACACACACACACACACACACACACACACACACACACACCCCACCCAACAGGATGGAAAACAGACATTCACTTGGCAATTCCTGTATTTCCATTCCGCCTAGTTTCTACTCCCAAGAGAAAAACTGCCCGGAGTTTGATCCTGCTTCTGCAAGAACAGGGCCTTTTCATCTCTCCCCAGCTTGGTACTTGAGGAATTAAAGCTGCGACCACTAAACAATGTGGTGCCTTCAGAAGCGGACAGGCTGTGCAGACCCTGGGTGGGTGGGAGGTAGGGACCTCGCTGGGTGAAATAAAGACAGCAAGCTTATTTTGATATGCAAATACTACTCAGCTACCCTTCTCCACGTTAGCTGCAGAAAATGCTGATCGAAGATAAAAGAGGGGAAAAAACCCTTTAACAAGGCATGAGGGTAATTCAAAGCCAAGTACTTTTAAACAGCACTTAACAAGTCCCTGGGGCCCACTCAAGAGCCAGGCCCCCCAGACGTGCCATCTCCTGCCCCTCAACAGCTTGAAAAAGTAGTAATTGCAAACCTATTTGCATTTTTCTCCTCAACTTGTCCACGCTTATCATGCGGATTCTTTTTTTCCAAGCAGGCACCAGAGCAAAGGGACCTGTTCCCGAACGCGCCAACAGCTCAGCGGCGGCGGCAGCCATGCCTTGCTGTCTGTCCCCTGCACCCCGAGCCTACACCTTTGCCTTCCCGTTTTTTACATTTTGCTCCTAATTATGTTGCATCTATTGCCGTACACTTAATTAGCTGCATTAATGTGATTTCTTTTCACATAGTCAAGCA